GGGGGAGTCTTCCCCCGACTCGAAGGGTGGGCCCTCAACCTCCCCGGTAATGCCGGGGAAGAGGGCTTGCACCACCCTTCGGACGATCCTACGTCCAGCCGCTCCGTTAGCGGGGGCGCCCATGGTCTCTCAACTTGTTGAGAACCATTTTGTATGGGCGCCCCCACGGATCCTCCTGAAGGGAGTCGAGGAACTCCGTCCACGCCCTGCCCTTTGCCACCCTGATGGCCCGCCTGAGGGCTACCTTGGCCTCAAGGTAGTCCTCTCTGGCTTGTTCGGCCGTCTGTTCGCCTCTGCGCCTGCAGCGGGCGAGTCTCCTCTGCTGGTGGACGGCACGCCGACGCAAGTCGGCGATCTCTGCCGTCTACCAGTAGACGGCCCGCTGAGGCCGAGCCTTGGACCGGGGCATCGCGGCGTTACACGCCACTGTAAGCGTTGCCCCGATCCACTCGGCCTCTTGCAGGGGGTCCGTCTCCCGGGTCTCGGGGAAACTTCGCCGGACCCAACAGGCGGCCTCTATCGAGGCCATCAGGGCATCCTCGCGGAGTTTCCGGAGGGCCCATCGCGGTCGTGTCTCCTCTTGGCGACGCACGGAGGAGAGGACACCGAGCTCCACCGATATGTATCGGTGGTCCGATAGAGTCTCGACGTCCCGCTCCACCCTCCACCCGGTGATCAGGCGCGCGGCCGAGGGGGTAGCCCATGTGATGTCCACAATGGACTCCCCCTGCGTCCGCACGCAGGTGGGGGTCCGGCCCTCGTTCACGAGGACCAGTCCGTGCATCGCCGCCCATCTCGCTAGCGCCTTGCCCCTCCCGTTCGCGCGCCGGGAACCCCAATTCGTATGCCACGCATTGAAGTCCCCGGCCACGAGGACCGGCCTCGGACTCAGGCGTATGAGCGTCTGCCCAATGTCCGAAAGCCAGCCCTCAAACGGGGCGAGGCGTCTGGTAGGCCTCAAATAAGTCCCCACGACCGCGATGCGCCCCCACTGCACAGCAACGTGCCGGTCCCCCCATTCGATGACGGTTGTGTCGGGACCACCCGGCACCGACCGCCATCGTATCGCCACCGAGCCCCCGTCCCGCCCAACAACAGCCCACTATGGGCTGTTTTCCGGGGCGCGGTGGGGCTCGGAGACGATCGCCAACGTGAACCCCCTCTCCATCATGCTTTGCTGGAGCAGATCTTGTGCATGTGGAGAGTGGTTCACGTTGGCCTGCAACAGGCCAAACCCTCTCATATTCGGACAGGGGGAGGGCGAGGCATTACTTAGTCTCATTATCCCCCCGTCCGATGGGGTCTCTTCCTCCATGGCCTCTGTCGTGGCCTTCCCCTCCCGCGCTCCTTCCTCCACCGGCCGGACATCGGCCGGGGGGAGGGGGTCACCGGATGCTGGCGCTTGCTCCAGTATGCGCCGCTCCGGTGGCCTCCCGCGCACGTTTTTCTGTGCGCAAGACTTTGCGCCCAGAAGGTGCGTCGCCGGCCTGCCCTTGTCCGCGCACAGCGGGCACTTGGGGGCAGACCGGCAGTCGCGGGAGGTGTGACCGGTCTCACCACACCGGTAACACCTCCCGCTCCTGTCCTCGCTGGAGCAGGTTGGCCTTACGTGGCCCCTCTCGAGGCACCTATGACAGCGTATAGGCCGCGCCTCGAGAAGGTCCACTCTGGCCGTTCCCCATCCGACTCGAATACGCCCCTTAAGGGACATTCCCCTCGCCGCAGTGAGGGGCAGGCGCATCCAGAGGCTGTGCTTTCCTCCAGCGGCTGGCTGCAGCGCTCCGCACTGCATGTCGCGCAGGCGTACCTCGGCCATCCTCCTTGGACGGTCCACCCGCGTTCCTCCTTCCCCGAGGAAGACTCGCGTGATGTGCCCCGCGAGGATATCCGCCTTTTCGGCGTGGCCCTCCCCGGACACCTCGATGATCTTGGCACCGGTGGCGCCCGATCTTATGTTGATTGGGCCACCGATGCCAAGGTCCTCCAACTTTATCTCCCGCCGCAGCCTGGCCATGGCCTCACGGTAGTCCCCACTGGGACGCGTGACGACCACGGCCGACGCGTGCGGGAGTCGCCTCTTTGGAGCCTTTTTAGGTGGACCGCCGGCCTGCCCCTTAGCTGGGGCACGGGGGGCGGCCGCCTTGGGGACTCCTTTCACGGGTTTCCCTGCCGCCTTACTTCTCCTCCCAACTACCGCCGCGTAGATCACAGCCCCCGCGGCGGGCCGGGAGGACTTGGCGTCTCGCCCAAGAGAGACCCCTGTCTCTTCGACGCCTTGCGTCTGCTGCGAGAGAGGGGCCTTCTTCCTCTTCTTCCTCTTCTTCTTGGACCCCCCCTCCACAGCATTCGCGGTCCTCTCGGGGGGCTCCTTAGCCCCCTTCGATCCGCCCCTCTGGCCGGCCCCGAGAACCGGGCGGTCCCTCACGGCGCCCCCTCCTCCCTTTCGAGGGTCGGAGGGGCCCGCTGCAGGGCCGCTATCACGGGCCCCGCCGCCGACCAAGGACCGGATCAAATCCTCCATCCTCTGGAGTCTCTGGTTGGTCTCTTCTTGAGACTGGCCGAAGACCTCCTGTATTCTCCTCTCCACCATCTCCCCCGTAATCTCCCCCGCCTTCCCAGGCAAGGGCTTCCCCGCCTGTTTCCTCGGGGCGTGGGGGGATGGTAAAGAGGAGTCCTTCGCGGGGGTTTTGGGGTTGGCCCTCTTCCTAGAGAGGGACCTCTCCCTCTTCCCCGCCCGGGATCTCCTCGCTCCCGACGTCGAGGCCCGGGAGGCGTCCGCGTTATTCGGCGTGACCACCTCCCAGGTCCTCTTCTCCGCGGGTGGCGCGGCCGCTGTTTCTCCGGGGGGAGGAGACTCCATCGGCAGTCCATCAGCGACCACCTCCGGCATCTCCTCCTCCCGTACGACCTCCCCCGAGGGGGTGGTGTTCCGCCTCGTCTGTAGCAGGCCGGGGGGTGGCATCGCCCTCCGGTCCCGTTCCTCCTCCCTCTCTCGTTGGAGGTCCGCGAGCTGAGCTTTGAGGGCCGCGAGCTCATCCCTCAACAGCTCCTCTCTCTCGCTCGCCTCCCCCCTAACTCTCGTGGATAGGGTGTCCACCGCGATCCGGGTGTACAACGCCCCATCCCTTATAAGGCCAGCAAGAGTGCCTTTAAGGTTCTTGCTGACCTTAGCCGCCTCGTCGATCTTGCTGCTGAAGTCGAGGACCTTCGCAACAAGATCGCGGGTGGGGAGCTGGGGGACCTGTTCCTCCAGCTCTCTTATCTTCCTTCGTCTCTCCGCGCCCTCGTATTTCCGAGGGTCATACTCTCCCTGTAAGGCCCTCTCTACGTTGCGCAGGTCCTCCCTAGACTTTTTCAGGGCTTGGGCTACCTCTTTGCGGGCTTTTATCTGAACGCCCCTTCCCGTTGTAGCCTTCCTGCCTCTGGCGTCCTTTTTTGTATGGAGGGGGTCTTCCTCCTCCCCGCTAGAGGTGTCGAGGGGCCGCTTTTGCTTAACGTCTCTCCCCCTCCCGACACTCTTACTTCTCTTGGTGGCCCCCGAGCGGGATACGTGTGACTTAACGCTAGCGTCGGAGTCATGATCCCCCTCGGAGTCCACCACGAGAGCAGGTTCGTCAAGGTCGTCGACGACGTCGCTGCTCGCTGCCGATGGCGTTTCCCCCCTCCCCTCGTCCGTCGGGGTGGGGGAGTCTCCGGTCCTCCTCGGGGAGGGGGAGCCTCTGGTCCTTGTGCGGATCTTAGCAGCAAGGGCCGTTCGCTCCTCCTCCTCCTCCTCGAGGTACTCTTGACCGTAGATCGGACCTTTTTCGCCGCGTATCCCTCTTCCGCCTCTGTCGGACCTTAGAGCTTTTGGGGCCGGGTGTATAGCCCCTCAATTTGCTCACGTCCAGGCGAGCGCACTTCACGCTCACGATCGTGGGACCGGATGGCTCTCCTGAGGGTCTGGGCTGATGTTGGCCCGTCCCGCCACCCTGCACTCCCTGCGCGACCGCCGCATATGTCTGCGGTTGCGCGCCCACCTCCTCCTCCTCTCCTCCCTCCACGTCAACAAAAAGGCTGTTTTTGGCATCCATTTTTGATTTATCCCCACTCCGCGCGAGGCTCCGCCGACCGGGGTATACCCCCACCGGGTCACGACCGACCGCGAGACATGACTACGGACGCGGCCGCAGCCCGGGCCCCTGAGTTCCCTCGGGGGAGTCGGCATATGCCACAGGACGGGGGGATGACGAAACCCGCCACTGGGCTCCAGCCCCCTACTCGCCCCCACGCTCAGTGCGTGGGGGTTTTCAGGGGTTCCGCACCTCCGACTATGCGGACACCTCGCGCGAGCTTGCCAAAGCGGGGGGGGGGGCCCACGGACGGACGGAACGTGTCAGGGGAAGCCCTCCCCCCCTTCGCCCCGACCCGCCATGGCGACCAGCGTAGTTGCTTCTACCGCCGGGGGGTGGTCCGCGCTAGGAAACGTGGGCTATCGCGCGGGCCCCCCGCCAACGGGGGACGGTGAGACCCCGCCTCGGAAACGTCCGAGCGGCTCCCCCCGTCCCCCTCGTCCGAGCAGACTGCCGGGTCCGGGACACTGCCCGGGACCACGACAGTCCCCCGCAAGCGACCCTCCGGACCCCGACCTGGGAAACGTCCCAGCGGCTCCGGAGGGCCCCGTGCCGTCGAGCCCCGCCTCGGAATACGTCCGAGCGGCCCGAGCCCCGACCCGGAAATAAGTTCCGGCGGCCCCGGAGTCACGCCTACCCATGCATACACGGTACGCCCTGGTGCTTCGGCACCTTTTCCAACCCAAAGGCACAACGAGGCCTCCCACTCCTGCCCGCCCACCCGGTGGCCCGCGCCACGCACGGTTGCGCCACCAGGGTCGGCCCCCCCCGCCGAAACGGGACCACGTCCCGCCCAGCGAGGCGGCGGCTCCGCCAATGCCGGTGCGCTCCCCGCCCGGCCCCGTGACAGACTGCTCGTCCCGAAAGGGACGACGGCCCCAGACACGGGGTGACGGCCAGTTCGCGCCCTGACGACGGATGTCGGCCGATGGACTGTCGGCCGACCCTCCAGACCCTCCGGGGCCCTGCCTGGGAGACGTCCCAGAGGTCCCCGGAGAGATCTTTCGGGAAGTGGGCCCCGCCTCGGAAACGTCCGAGCGGCCCCACCCCCCGTCTATCTTCCCGCCCCCCGGCGACCCGCGCCACGCACGGTTACGCCACCGGGGTCGGGCCCTCCACTGCCGGCGCGACCGGACCACGTCCGGCCCCCGACCGTGGAGCTCCGTCCCCACGCCCCCCCAAGCCGGAACACCGGCATTTGGGAGAAGCGCAGAGACCTTCCCATTCCCCAGCCAGGCCCTCCCGCCCGTCGGAGTACCGACGTGCAATGGCGTTCAGGCCCAACCAGGGAGATGGGGCGGAGGTGGGATGGCGATAACGTGCCACCCCCCCTCCGTCCGGGTCCCCCCACGCCCCCCGCCGGAACACCGGCTTAATGGGACGACGGGAGAAAAACTACCCGGACCGGTGAGGGGAGCAAGCTCCCCCCTATCGGCCCCGGCGGCCGGAGGTTTGAAGTCGGGGTACCTTATCCCCTACCAGCGATCAGCGGGCTCGTCCGCCACACGTGTGGTGAACGAGTCCCCCTTAACGGAGTCGCTGGACCCCGTCCGCCCTTAAAAGGGCAGAGGCGGCGCCTCGGCAGCACCCCAGGCCGGGAAGCCGCCGACGCTAAACGCGCCGACAGCCGTCCACCCGGAGCGCACGCCCCCGAAGCCCCGCCCGGGCTGCCGGGCCCAGACTCGGAAAACATCCGAGCGGCCCCGACAACCCCCCCGCCTACGGCCCTGGACCCCGACCTGGGAAACGTCCCAGCGGCTCCACGGGCCCCAGGCTGCCGAGTCCTGCCTCGGAATACGTCCGAGCGGCCTCGTCAGCCCGCCTACCCGGGCGGGACGGATTCCCGGCCCCCCCAACATGGGGAGACCGAAAAGTCCGCCCCCGTCCCCCCCCCGAGCTCCCCCGGGAAAAACTCCCGTGGGGCCCGGTAGGGGGGACTCCCCTCGACCCCCGGTGCCCGTATGAGCGATTGCCCGCGGGACACCGGCGGTCGCACCCCGGACCAAGA